GTGCGTGTGAGTGCGGGATACTGTGTGTGTGCCCGTCAATGTTCGGCCGCCAGGAGGCGACGGACGTCGACGTCGTTTAATTCCTACCGTGAACTGTGTGTGTGAAGTCACAGACATGATATCGCGTTATATACGTACATATCGCTCCTCCTCGTTCGTCTGCTTCCCCTCCCCCCACTTCTCCTTCTCACCTTTCTACTCATCCTCTCACTACGCTTTCGCTTCCGCCCGCTCTGCGACTAATAGAAGATAATATCAGAAGTGATACAGAAATAGCTGCATCGCACCTGATAACCTTTCCCCGTGTATTAACCCTCTCCCTTCCACATTTTGCACTCCGTCTCCCCATCCCTCACTGCTTGACAACCATCCCGCCCTCCTCCACTTCATCGCCCGCTGCCCATTGGCACACACACGCTCAGGCAAGCCTTTCGCTTATTATGAGTAATAACATTTTACACATTTTGACATGCATTTAAACGGAATTTACAGGAAATTATCAGTAATAATAGGCGAAAGAGAGTAGAGAAACATTAAGACTTTGGTAGGAAATACATTTCGTGTTTATTTACCATCATTTTATTATTGAAACGTGTGTGTGCGCGTGCGTGCGTCCCTGTGTGTGTGTGTGTGTGTGTGTGTGTGTGTGTGTGTTGTGTGGTGTGTGTGTGTGTGTGTGCTGTGTGTGTGTGTGTGTGTGTGTGTGTGTGTGTGTGTGTGTGGTGTGTGTTGTGGTGTTCCTCTTCTCTGTCTCTGCTGGTCGTCCTATCTTTTTCTGCGTCTCCTCCTTCTCTCACCCTCCCAGTTTTCTTCTGCTCTCAATTCTACGCGGTCTCTCTCTCTCTCTCACATTTGGTATCCTCTCTCTTCTCGCTCTCCGCTCTCTCTCTCTCGCTCTCCTCTCTCTCCTCTTCTCTCGCTCTCTCCCTCTCTCTAACTCGCACGACAACGGTGAGAGAGAGAGTGAGACAGAAGCACAGAGAGAGACAGACAGACAGATCAGAGAGAGACGGACGAGTGACAGACAGACAGAAAACAGAATAGAGAGAGAGAGAGAGAGAGAGAGAGAGAGAGAGAGAGAGAGAGAGAGAGAGAGAGAGGGGAGAGAGGAGCGCCGAGCGAGGGTCTAGGAACGCGGAAGTAGATGCGAGCAGAAAACGCGGGCATGCATCGGGGAACATTGGCGAGCGGCTTCGTTTTCGCCACAGTCTCGCGATGATGGGCATATGGTCATACCTGTGCGTGAGATGTTAGCCAGCCGAGATGAACCCGATCGGTTCTTATAATATAGG